CAGAATTTAAGAAAAATAAAAAAAATATATAAATATTAAATGTTAATCAAAATTATTTCTGCTCCCTTTCTCCCTTCCAGGATGACACATCAACGTCCACAATTGCTCATAATCTCCATCTCCTTGCTTTATTGGTTCCGTCACACAGGCGAATGTTGGAAATTCGATGGCGGCGGTCCCGGCATACTCGACCCTGATGCGCATAACCCACCCGCTCTCAATACGCCGACATTTATTGCCACCTACACACATTTACGTGCACCACGTAGCGCGGCGGCGGTGTCAGCTGCGGCTATGGCGGCACGTGGTCCACCGCCAGCTGTGCCGCCACCAAGTGGGAATGGTGGCGTAATGGCGGGTGGCAGCTTTTCGGCGCTRCTAAATGGCCAACAACAGGATATTTTGTATGCGTGTCCGCTGAATAGTATGTGTCAGTGTGCCGGCTTGCCGAACGAGACGTCGACACTGATCGAAATCAATTGCAACGAAGTGGCGCTGTATAAATTTCCAGGTGAGTGAGTTCGTTACGAGAATTTAATTCAATTTTAGTATTCGGATTTTTAAGTAAAAACTAGAATTTTTTTTTAGATATATGATTTTTTTTAATATTCTAATTGTTTTGGTATTGAAATTTTTGAATTTTTAAAATTGGTTTATAGTGGCAACTCTACTATGAATTAATAAAGTTTCTTTAGTCTATGATATGGTACTTTTTGTAAAGAAATATCTTATTGTTTCAAAAGTTTGTTATTAAGTTATCGAAATTTCACTTGAAAAGTTAACATTGGCAACCCTAATACAACTTTTTTCGGAATCAATGTTAATTTTTTTTTTTTTAATAAATAACTTAAAATGCACGCTTATCTAATGCCATAACACATAATGCAGTTAATCTGGTGTCAAAAAATTTGGCAACTCTATTTTAAATAAAACTGAAAAAATCTTCGATTTGTATGGAATTTGTTACTTTTCTGAAGTATAAAACTTTTTTAATAAAACCTTACCAAAAAAATTAGGTGGCAACCGTACTTTTTTTATTTAATTTTTTGTTTTTTGTTTTAGGTAATTGTTTCAAATTATGATATTTACATACATATCTCATAAACTAAATTTTTATTTACCAAACGATTTGGCACCTGTGGACTAAGTGGTAACACTTCTAAATAATTTCGATTTTTGAAATTTTTATTTCGTTAGCATTTTCAATAATATAGAAAAATGTTGAAACCGACTACTTTTGTTTTAAATGTTTTAAAATATGTACGTCTGGCAGCCCTCATTCAAAATTTGTAAAAAATTGAAGTCATTACAAATTGTTCTAGTGTCAGTAAATCAAAGCTAACACTTATGAGATCTCTAAAACTTTTTCAATAAAATTTTACAAAAAAAAAAACAGGTGGCAACCCCACTTTATTGATTCTTTTGTTTTTTTTTTAAGTATTTGACCCATGATATTAATAAATTATTTTTCCTAACGAGTTGTCACCTCTGGACTAAGTGGCAACATTTTTAAAAAAATTAACTTTTTTGGAACTTTTGTTTTGTTAGCATTTTTATTATTGTACAAAAATGTTGAAAACGACTACTTTCTTAAAAATATTCCYGTTATTTCTACATCTGGCAACCCACATTTAACTTTTTTCGAAAGTTATAAAATATTATCACTTTTTAGATTGTTAACAAAATKCAGCCGCGATTGAAGGTTTCCTAATGAAAATGTTAGTTWAAAAAATAGGTGGCAACACTATARGATAATTTTTTATAGTGTTAATTAAATTCAGCTATGAGTGAAGGTTTCTTAATGAATTCTTAAAACATTTTTAACAAAACGTGTCCCAAATAATAGGTGCCAACTAATATAATGATGTTAATAGAACTCAGCTAACGTTGCAAYACTCTAAATGAGTTTTCTAAAATTTATTTAATAAACCTTTACCAAACCAAAAGGTGGCAACTCTATTAATTTTGTTTTTGAAAATAAACATTAAGTACGAATATATTATGAGCTCTTTACATTATTTGAAATTTAATATTTTTTATTTTTCAAACATCTTGGCAACCCTAGACATTTTTTTATTTCAATATACTATAATATGAAAGTTGGACTTTTCGAAATTTTTCCTAAATGCATAGACTTACACATATTAATTAAATTATAAAAAATAAATWTTGGGTGGCATCACCTTAAAGATATAGTACATATGTACATATTATATATCGGCTGTTTAAATATTCTGCCAGTTCCTTGGTATTGTCTTTGCATTAATTTGCCGACAAATTTCAACTAAAATTTTATGCTCATCACATATTTATAGAGAATTTACTTCTAATATGCAGCAATTTAAAGTTCGCAATTTCAATATTTACCCAAATAAATTTTTCATTAAGCGGAAAATGTATGCCTGGCCAGCAAAAAAATTAAATTTCCCCCTTTTTGCATGCTTCAATCAGCCGAYCGTACTTGAACACAAACTTTGGCAACAATTAAAATCTTCTACAACACTTCATCATCATAAATCTTATTGTCGGATCCTTTTCATTATTCTCCTTTATTATTTTGTCTCTTTGCCGGTTTCTCGGTCAGTGCCGAGCATTTATTGATGTGCGCCTGCTAAGCGAAGGGTTAAGTACGACACAAGTTTGAGCGCAAGAGAAAGGAAAAATCAGTGGACAGCCTTACAATAAGCAAATTAAAGTGGGTTACTTGCCGGCTACACATAAATAATAGATGAAGCGAAGTGGAAGTACAAAATGAACAAATTTCTGAAGGCTCAAATTTTTAAGCATATATTTTGCCACTTTTGTGTTAATAGAATTGATGAGGGAGGGAGCAAAAAGTAATGATAGCGTGTAAWTTGAAATTGCATGGAAAAGAAAAGGGATGAGTTGAAGGTACGCCGGACAAAACGGTTTCAATTATTTTTGTTTATATAAACTTGTAGGATTTTATAATAGATTGTGAATATCAGATTWTAATTCCTCTTAAAGTTTTTCTGAATTAAGCAATAAACTTGAGAGAAGTTTGAAAGCATATGAGCGAAGAGGAATTCTTAAATGGAATCTTTGCTAGTAATGCTCTACTACATAGTTCAAAGGTCCAGTCTTTACACGGACCACATAAATAAGAGTTCTGATGACAAAGCCTAAGGACATTTCTCTGTTCGTTTAACCTGTTGAGACTATCTTCCAAAAAATACTATACCTTATCACACATGTAATTAGTATTTTAATATACTAACCACTGTGCTAATTTTTCGAAGTGCGATTCTACTATTAGACAATCTCATAGTTTTTGTATACTTTTACTTTTTAGCTAAGACACCTACCCAATTTTATAGTACAAAAATTCTTTATATTTCCTGTGACGACCAATACGATGAGTTGACTAAGTATCTATTCTTGGACCATTTAATAAGTCAGGCAATCTGAGCTACATACCTTCTCTAAAGGCTGACCTAATCATTTACAAAAATTTTACCTTAGAGTATACCGATAACATAATAAACGTGATTCTAATTTCAGACAATATTTCAATTATTGTACGTTGTCATATTTTTAGCTAAGACACGTACCCAAAGACATAGCTACAAAATTTAAATACTTTGATTTGGAGATGATTTTTGATTGTATTGGAAAGMTTCGTCAGAGCTTAAAATAAGTCAGACAATCTGAGCTACTTTGTCCGAAGGCATATCACATCATACTCAGCAATTCTTAACTAAAAGTAGTTAGTGAGGTTACACTCCCAATCAAGGTATATGAAATTGTTAAGTTTTATAATTMATTTACATCGGTGGAATGCTTAATAAGCACTTTGATACAAATATAATCCMCTTTGTAGACAATCTTACAGTTTTGGTATTTTGCTACTCTTCAGTCAAGACACATACCCATATTTAAGACGACAAAATATAGCTTTGTTTTTAGACGGGAAAATAAAGCAGTCTTTGATTATATTAGAAAGCTTGGTTGCCTCCCATAAGTTCCCAAAGTAAGTCAAAAATTTTTTGTTACCTTGGCATACCAGATAATCAAGAATAACCATCTAAAAGTAGGCATGGTATAAATTATTTGGTACTTTAGCAAAGTCAAGCTCCAAATTTAAGAAAGCCAAATTTTCGAAATTTGTAATTTTTTACATCTGTATTTTTGATAAACTTTCCAAAAGTAATCCTAATCTACAGCACTCTTTTCATTTTTTTTGCTGTGATTTTCTAGCTAAGAGACATACCCAATTTTATGGAGACATAAAAAATGGGAGAAGCAATCGGTTTCAAGTCGTATTGGGAAGCTTAGATACCTCGAAGTCTGATCCTTAAAAAGCTAAAAGATACGACGTTCAAATAGTCTTAGATACCAATCATCAGACTACAAAAAAATTAAAGATGAGAAGAATAAGAAGTATTGGATTGATAGTGACTAACCTCTCGTCAATTAAACTAATGTTAAAAGCTCCAAAAATAAGAGTTTTCGCTTAAAAATAGTCAAGTGCAAAGGGGAGATTGGGTTGAAAGAATTAGAGGTTTTAGAAAAAATATTTAGTTCTTATAGAAAATTTATAAAGGAAAAGAACTTTCAAGTGTTAAAAGCAGAAATAGTATGCGAGCTGTTTAATATGGCATAAAGTTATTTAAGTTTAAATAAAGACTTAAACTTAGGTCGCTAAGATTTGTATATCTATTTACTTGGAACACTCAAATTAAAGCTCAAACTATTCGCCGCGTTCGCCCAAAAGGAAAAAAAATTAAATCCAGAAGAATTAGCTGAAACAAGGCAAGCGACAAGAGCCAACTGACGCCGTTTGCACAATGCTAACTGCACTACAAAAGCAGACACACCTACAAACAAACAACAATAAAAATATATAAGTATATCTGTCTAGGGTATCTCTACTCTCATCTCTCGCTCAACTAGCACCATTAGCTAATCTAGCTTTRCGCCAAAATCAGCCGTTTCCTGTTCCGTTGCGCACTTTAAGCTTTCTGCTGCCTGACGCCGGTCGCCCTCACCAACACAGCCTTCAACCATCACATTCACATTGCGCTTAACCCCCACAACCAAACAAGTCCCCTGCACTGTCTTCCGAGCGCTTTTATTCGCTTCGTTGGCGCATTGTCCGACAGCACTAAATTAAGTTTTGTATTTAAGTTTGCCAATTAGTTGCGAAATGAAATTGTTGTCGACTTGGCCGCTTGATTTGCGCTTGCCCTYCACTTACCTCCTCTTGCGCTCATGTCTGTCGACGTGTTTTTCTTTCAGCCTTCATTCATTTCACTGTGTTCACTCAAGGTCTATTCGGCAGCGCTTCTATACGTTTTCTAGTTTTCTCCAACTCTTGCCGGTTTGTCGTTTAATGTCTCCTTCCCTCGCTGCTTATTCGTGCGCTTGACTGGTCCGCCTTTTGACCGGTTGTTTTCCACTTCCGTTTCCGTTTCAACTGCAACATTTCTAGCAAAAATTTCCCTTGCTCCACGACTTGGCCGTTGTCATGTTGTTGTTTGCAATTACTTG